CTCAAAGCTGGCATCCCAAGCCAACTCTTAACCAATATGCCACTCGCCGGCCCTATATAACGTTTCTTGTAGTTCTCATGAGGGCCCTGTAAGGTAGGTTTCCTACCATTTTTCAGACTGTACACTCCTTGGAGCTTCAGATGGCGTGAAGAGTGGGGCCAGGAGTTGCTGAGCCCAGGCCTGTCTCACTCCAGAGGCCTCTGCTCTTTCTAGTCCATTGACAATTTGGCAGCTGTTGAAACAACTATCTGCCAAATCAAAATATTATTTCTGTGTGTAATATATAAAATAAATGTAGAAGAAAATGGTTGGGGATTGGAATATTCTGATTCTGTTGCCTGTAGGAATCTTCAGAATAGAGAATTTTAGGTAAAATGAGCAATATACGTCACAATCAGCATTCACTTTAAAAAAAAAAGTTCAGAACTTACACTGCTTCCATGTGCCTGGCTCAGTGGGAAGTGTTAGCTCTTTTAGAAGCTTATTTCTAACTGGAAATGACCCTAAGTTAATCAGGGCCTCAGTGTCTTCCTTGCTAAAAAGACTGGCTTAGATGAGTGTGGTGGTTCTTAAGCAGGGGTGCACCTCACCATAACCTGGATCTCCCGGCACAGGTGCTCAGCCACACTCAGGAAGTTCTGCAGGTCTGAGGTGGGGCCTGGGCACCAGTCAGTCTTTCTGTCTCTCCCCTCCCTTTATCCCCTCCCTCTGCCCCTAACCACCGCAAATGTGGGTATTGAACAGCTTCCCAAGGGGCTTGGGCCCAAACTCTGATGGGAGTCCCCAAAGTTTGTAATTGCTCCAGCCAAATTTGGTTTCCAGCTGCTTCCCTAACACTCCTAGTGATTTCTTCTTCCGTGTCTCTGAGTATGTTTCCCACACACAGATGCTTGTTCCCTTCTAGAGGTTCGGCTTTCCCCATTCTCCAAGGCCCATCTCAGAAACTCTCTTCCACGAAGCTGTTAACCCTCTGCTGTTGCCTGCTAGGCCTCCCTCACTCTGACCTGCAGGCTCCTAGAGCAGCACTTCTCCACTCTCTTAACCCGAACTCAATAGCTAAGATGGCATTCAGCTTTACTTCCTGTAGTTCTGCACCTTTTTCCATTTTGCAAATGTAAAATTACAGGATGATATGGAGTATACTTTTGAAAACTATAAGAGCCCCCATCTTGAGACTTGCTGGTCCAGAGCATTGACATCTGAAGCTGCCCAGGCTTTCCCAGCTGATTTTTTTCTCTCTGTATCTGTCTGGATTTCTTAAGGAGGACCATGGCCCCAAGCTAGTTAAGAATCACTGGAGGAAAAAAAAAAAAAAATCACTGGCTCCTGAGGGATTCTCAGGCCATGTGTGAGGATTACCCTGGGAGATTTTGAACAGTCGATTTTCCAGGCCCCATCGCAGACCTCCAAAGAAGAAAAATACTTGGCCCAAACTCAGATGCATACATCTGAGTTGTGTGTCAGAATGCTGGCTGTGTACAACTGTCTGTCTCCTCTCAATCCTTTTAGGATTGAGCCGAGGCTTCTGTGCAGGACTTGGAGCCGTGCACTCCTGCTGGGGTTAGGACCCTCTCCTTTGTTAGTGCCTGCAGAGTTGTTAGGCAGTGGTCTGTTTCTGCCACATGCCATACTTTGACCTGGAGTGGGCATCAAACTCTGAGCTGCAGTTTGGGGGATGAGCTTTTTCCCCTTTGAAGAGCTGAACAGCATACCCAGGCTCTTTCAGGTCCCGCAATACGCTGAGACTCACCTCGGCTCTGAAGCGGATCTCATTGTGAGAAGCATTGCTCTTTCTCCCTCCCCATTTACTGTGGCTGGGAAGCCTGCTCTCTCCCCCGCTGGGAGAAGGAATGTGCCTGAGTTGGCTGGCTAGTTCTGCTTTCCCTTTTGCTCTTCTCTTGGTTTGTCAGCATTGCGCCATCAGCCCAGAGCAGCTGACTGGGGACTGCTTCTTGGCTCTGAGCAGAACTGAAACAAACCTTTGTGGGGCATATTTTGTAAGCTCCTGTCGTTCTTGGCTTTGGTCTTCCTGACTGTTTTTCTAGAGCTGGGCCTCTCTCACACTTTTTCTTTGTCATGTCCTTTCATCATCCATCATTTGAAATTTGAAATTTGAACTCTGAATTTACATTGGTTTCTTTACATTCCTTCCCAAGTTCTTCATTCTCAGGATCACTCTCAGTTATAGGGGTGCAATTTTGCTTGAGGGTTTGTCAATTCTCTTGAGTCATCTTGTCTTTTCGAGTCTCAGATCTTCAGATGAACCTGTTCCTCTGAATGACTCAAATCTGTCTTCTTCAAGTTGTTCTCCTTGGTGGAGACATGATTGGCATTTCAGGTTGAACAATCCTTATCTGCAGGACCATCTTGTGCAATGCAGGACTTTTAACATCCTGGCTCCTGATAGTGCCAGTGGTTCTGAGCAGCTGGGGCTCTCGATGACGTTGGGAAATCACAATGCCTGGCATCTAATGGGCAGGGCTAGGGATGCTCAAGTGCAGAGTCCTGCTGGGTGCCAGCCCCACCCTGTTGAGAAACACTTCTAGGGGGCTGCCCACATTCCCTTGAGATTACAGGCTTGCTTATTTGTTTGTTTGCCTTGGTTTCTCTCACTTCCGCCTTATAATTGGTTCTTCCTTGTTGGTTAGAATTATGCAAAGGAGGTTGCCTCTTCTGTCTTTGGTGAGCTTAACTTGACAGTAAGTTATCTTGAGATTTATACAATAACTGCCCTTTGGATTCCCTGAACCTTCTAGTCCTGCCACCATTTGGTGCCACCCCTTCTTTGTCCAGGGGGTGTGTGGCATCCTCCTCCCACAGTATGGCTTTTGTCTTTGTTCACGTGTCTCTTGATATCAGACCACCAATAGGTGCCCTCCCTGCACCCCTGCGCACAGTACCCACTCGTTCCTCCCTTCCTCTTGAGCAAGATGCAATTTTTCAGTGCCATATTACGGTTGAGTCCCATCTTGCCATGTTTTTGCAATTCTTTTGCAATTTACCTTCTTGTGTTTATCACCCATACTTCATGTTGTTGGTATGTGGATTTCTGAACCATAAAGAATAGTTACGTATTAAATTTTATTTCCTTCCTCGAATATTGAATATATTCTCCTATGTTGCTTCTTCTCTTTTGATTGTCAAAGTTCTATTTAGAATTTTTTTCCGTCTGCATTTTTGATATTGTGTGTTTCTAGCTAGAAATCTTATTCTAGTATTTTGAGCCAAGGATGAGAAAAATCAAACTACATTGAGAGTCCTTCACATCCCAGAGCCTTTTTTCCCCTCCGCGAGCCCCAGCTTCCCATCTGTTCACTAACCCAGTCATTAAGCAAGTGTGTGACAAAGCCTGACCATGAGCTTCTGGGGCTTCCAGATCCCTGCCCTCATGGAGCTTACACTCTGTTTGGGGGTGGGTCAGAGTGGTAATGTGGGTGTGAGGCCTCCTCCCCTTCCTGAATCTGTCCAGGCTACATTATACCTTGGTGAGCATTCCTGATGAGTCCCAGCATTAGCAGGAGGACTACATGGTAGTTGGCAGATTGAGTGGTCTCTCAGATCCCATGTTTTTCTCCTTGCAGGCTCAGGAAGAGGGGCCAGGCCACCCCTTGCCCTATTACAGGGGCTGCAATCATTGCTGCTAGCGTCTTCCTCACTCAAGCTGAACATTACTTAGAAATGGAACTCATCTCTCAGTAGCAGAGGCTCTCTCCTCTCACTGTGGAGCTTGTTAAAAATCCTCGTTTCAGACTCCACCCCACACTTGCTGAACCAGAATTCCTGGGCTGAGGCCCAGGCCTAGACAATTACGGTGGGCAGCTAGGGTTGACAAGCAGCAGCACCCTGTGGGAAGACACTTGGGCCCGTCGCCTGCCATGAAGCACCAGTGTGTCCCGGCCACAGTACCAAACAAGGAGGGGCGTCCCAATTCTGGAGAGGTTCATGGGCTGGATGAATAAGGAAGGAGCCAGGCGAGTGAGGAAGCTGACATGCCAGCCCAGCAGAGGAGGCAGGGCCCAACTGGGTGGTGCTCCGGAGTTGCAGAAGTGAAGGCACCCAAAAGATGTAGAGAAGGCTGTTGTGCCATGAATGAGAGGCTAGGCTGGGGCATTGGGTCAGCATGTCACTCCAGGTATCTGAGAATGGAGGATGTTGGGATGTGGACAGGTGCACGATGGGCGGCTTGGGCTATAATACCTATTGGACACTCAACTTGAGTTGTTGGGAAAGCAGTGGGGAATGTCAGGCTGGTGCAGAGTTGAAAAACAAGTGATAGACAATCCTAGACTAAACACATCTCAGGAAGGGCCTTGAAGTAGTAGGGTGAAATGGCGTTTGCTGCATTGACTGTATAATAATAATCCCTCATATTTGCAAGGGGTTTTGTTGCTTACAGTGTGGTTTCCCCTTTATTGTTTACAGCTCTGGGTCTTACTATCCCTGTTTTATAGCTGAGGAAACCAAGGCTCAGTAAAGGTTTCCTGTCCCCCTCCCGCCCCAGACTGGAATAGTTGTTCTCTTTGCTGTGTGCCCATGCTGAGGTAGAGGCCTGAAATCTCGCTTTCCAGCGTTGGGTAGGAAACTTTGTGGGTATGTGTGTGCTCTGATCCCAGTTTCATTCATCTTTAAATCCTCGCCGTCTGACACAGTCAGTGCTTAATAAATCTCAGTTGGAAGAAGTCAGGTCTATAGTACTTTTCTTGTGCCCCTGCCATGTGGTGACAGCTCAAAGAGGAGGTGGTGTGTCCACAGAAGCAGTTATTACCCTGCCAAGTACCGTGGGTTCACCGAGGTGGGGTCTTGTCGTGGTCTGGGGCATGGGTTGAGGGGACCACTGTGGCTCTGGGCCTCTTAACCAGACCAGGCACAGTCTAGTCCACACTCTGAAATTGTGTCATCTGTGGTGCCGGCATTCAGTTTAATTTGAGGGAGTCAGGAGGGATCTTGATATATGGTGCTTTCCCCTATTTGACACCCCTTTATGCTTTGTTAATCAACAGGAGCTTGAAGAAATCCGCAAATGTGGAATGAAAAACTTCCGTAACATCCAGGTTGATGAAGCTAATTTATTGACTTGGCAAGGGCTTATTGTTCCTGTGAGTATTGAACACTTCCACTTCTTATCAGATTATTATCGAAGGTGATATGTGTGCTGTTGGGCTTCTCTACTCCCAAGGAGACTTTCAGTGTAGGCAACCAACAGATGCACAGAGGCGGGCTGTCACCCCAGGGCAATAAGGTAGGAGCCACAGCTTTGGGTTCCTGAGTGGAATCTCATCTTTGCAGTGGTTTTATAACATTCTGGGGTCCCGAGCTTCCCAGGTCATGTGGTTATTGACCTGGGAAAGGAGTGTATCTGGGCTCCTGTCTTCCCAGGCTTCTCAGCCTGGCCTCATTTGTCCAGATGGGGCTGCCTTCTCGGATTTCTCTTGGGAGATGGTGGGTGTTTCCATCTAGATCTTCTCTTTGCTTTTCCGCCTGGTTTTGCATCTGTGTCTCTAACCCTCTGGACACCTGTGTTCTGGGCTTTATTCCTGGTACCCTCCAGTATGTGCCTCCCATTTGTCTCAAATCTCTTTGCTTCATGTCCCCTTACCCAGTATCTTTTCTGGGGCTTGTGCCTCCAGTGTCTGCACCCCATGGCTCCAGATCCCCCAGTCTCACTGACTTCTGCTTTCAGCCTGGCTCCAGACTCCTCCTAACAGCAGCTTCCCTGTGGATTTACTGCCTTCTTGATTTAGTGTCTGCTCTTTCTCCATCCTTTCCTCTCCTTAGTCCTCAGAGACTTGTCCTGTACTAACTCCCACTTGCCCTCTCAGTTTCTCCTGACCTCCTGAAACTGCTTCACACCAAGCATATAGGCTCCCCTCAGTCCTCAGTCTCTGGCTCCGCAGCCCTGGAGCTGTGGACCCCACGCCGTGTCCCAGCTTCCTATTCTATAACCAGTATGCCACTCGCTCTTGTCCTGTTGCTTCCTCTTAACCCTGAGACATGGATCTAGTTTAGTCCTTCACCTTTCTCTTGTTCTGTTTTGTTTCTTGGGATCCCTGCTGCTTCCAGCATCATAGGTGACTAGGTTATTCCTGTATGTGAAGGAGTCCGTCTCTGCCTCCATTCCTGCCTTCTGCCCAGAATCATACCATCTGTCCACAGGCGGCCTCACTTGGACATTGTGTGGCTTCCAGTCTCCCCAGCTCACACCTGGGACCTTCTTCGTGAGTGCTCCCTTTCCTTCCTGTTCTGTACCCTCCTTCCTTCTCTTTTCTTCCCCACTTTTCCCCATTTGAGCCTCAGGCCATTTTCCTGTGTCTGGCCTTGCGCTGCATTGTTATATAAAATCTTTTCTTGTGGGCAGATTGGCTCCTTTGCCAAAGCCTCACATGGAGCATGCTTACTGTAGATGCTTCCTTGGTGCTGGTTGTAGGTCACACCTTTTTTAAAAAGTCCCTGGAACTTGAATGGCAAGTACTGGATTTGTAGTTTATTTTCATAATCATTTTGATAACTAAGGACAGATATACTTTTTAGTCTTTCAGTACACATTCAAAAATTTTAAATCTGGGAGCATCCACTCTGGTTTCGAAGATAAAGTCCTTTAGATTTCTCTAGGCTTGGAAGTGATGGGGCTCAAGGCACAGGGTGTGGATGGTAGAGAAGCCCCTGACTGGGAAGGATTGGCCGGTGACCCCAGCTCTTCCTTACCGTAGGGACCTTTTAGGTGCTGAGTTTCCGGAAGGATGGCCAGGACCATCTGACCCCTGCCCTTTTCTAATGAGATTTTGTATCCTACTAGTATAAGCGGTGAACAGTTAATCTGTGGATCTTTGGGAAACTGATAAGAATGAATGAGACAGTATTAAGCAGTCAGGCTTGTGTAGTCTGCCCTGTGAGCTCAGTGACCTGAAAGACTGCATGCTGGCTCCAAGAGGAGATGGCTGTCAGGCAGGCTCTGACCTCAGTGCACACCAAGGCACCCTCTGGTGTCATTTTGGCAGAGCCTGTGGAGCAGGCTACTATCTCATTAACATTAAGCCCAGAGTGGTGACTGGCTGGTAGAATCCCACTGTGCTTGAGCCAAGACTCTGGGGAGTGTCCAGACCAAAGCCTCACCTTTCATTTGGGGAAATTGTGCCCAGAGACAGTAGGCCATGGCCAGGGCTGTCCTCACCCCTAGTCATGTTGCCTCTTCCATTCCTTTCTCACTTCCTTCCTATAATCATTGCCCAGGACCCCTGTGTTGATGTGAGGAGAGTTTCAAGGAGGTAGTTGGCAACTGATGCCTCCAGGGTCCCCCCACTAGTACCCCATACCAGGGCCTCAGGTCTTCCTGCACTGTAGGGGCTGGGTCAGCATGGGGAATCCTCTACCCAGACTCACCTGGGGTGGATCCACCCAGCTGGGGTGAAAGCAGGGCCAGGCTGATAAAGGCATAGCACCCCAGAAGCCTGCCTTTACCACAGGGACTGGTCTTGGGGAGCTGCTTAGTAAGTACGCCCTAGCCAAGGCGGGGGTGGGGGAAGGTGGGAGGTAAGGCTAGGGAGGTACTTCCTAGAGACACTTCATTGTTACCATGGCAGTTCAGATGTATTCCCTTTAAATACATGTTTTTATATAAAAATTTTTTATTTGAAATTCAGATGTGATATCTAAGGAAGCAAATAATCCCCTAATCCCTTCATGAAGAAATTTCCTCCCAGCCTTTTGTCTTGTTTTGTTTTAAGAACAATAAGCACCTTTATTACATGAACTAAGATAGAAAGGAAGAGGATTTATTTGCCTTTCGAGGCCTTGATTTTCCTCAGGTAGAACTCCAGTTCCTTGCACTCCAGCACTCGGCCATACTGGCTTGGTCTTGAAGTGATGCATGCAAGAAGCTGGCCTTGCTGGAACGGCTCCTTAGAAGACTGTTGATTTTGGCATTCTTTTTCCCCTCATCATATTTCTTCTGAATTTTCTTAGATAGCTTTTTATTCAAAATCTCTTCCTCCTTGGGAGTCAGCTTGCTGCCCCTTCCTGCAGCTCAGGGGCACTGCATAGTGGGACTCATATTGCTGTTGGTACGCTCTGCTGTCAGTGAACATGACGCAGTTCTTTACTAGGGTCTGGGTGTGGACCAGTTCATTGTTGGATGCATTGTAGACAACATCAGTAATCCTTGTTTTGCACTGACAACAGTTTTAGTATATGTGCCGCCAAAGCAAGCACACCTCCCAGCCTTTTTACATGCATTTTTTAATGGGCCATTGAATAATTTCATAATTAGTTCATACTTCCATCATTATTTAGCCGCTGCCTTGAAACTCATCATGAACATAATTTTTAATAACTATACAATACCCCACAATATTTATATGATCATCTAATTATTTCTTTCATAGTGGCTATTTCAATTATTGATCTGTTTTCATTTTTAAAATAATTTATCCATGAACATCATGTGGAAAATTTAGTGTGCATCTTTATTTTAGATTCTGATCTTAAGATAAATATTCTATATTCTATATTCCATTAGGATCGGGGTTATATATAAGGAAGAGACCATCTGAAGGGCTATACAGAGTCCCCAATATAAGATTACGATTTTACAATTTTACAATGGTGCGAAAGCAACACAGATTCAGTAGAAATCATCTAGGCAAAGCTGGGATGTTCTGAAGATTAAATGCATTTTTGATTTACGATATTTTCAACTTGTGATGGATTTATCAGGATGTAGCTCCATCGTAAGTTGAAAGCATCTGTATATATGGTCAAATTGTTTTCCAAAAATATTGCTCCTATTTATCCCCATGGGTACTGTCTATACAAGTTCCCACATGTGTCCTTGGCTGTCACAGAGGTTGCTGGGAGTTTTTTGTTTTGTTTTTTTTAAAGATTTTATCGGGGAAATGGGGGAGGGGAACAGTGCTGGGGAATCGGGGGAAGGGGAACAGACAAGTTGCTGTTGTTTTGTTCTTCACTGGCCCATGTTGGTATTATCATTGCGCTCTTCCTGGGTGAGGCAGCTCGGTCGCTGGCCTCTGGACAGCCGCTCACGGTGGCTCTTGGCAGCTCACACCAGCTGCCAGCCGCTCACGCACGGTAGCTTATGGCAGCCCACTGCAACAGGGGCTGCAGCCTACACTGTCGCCGGCGACTCTCGGCAGCCCAGTTCTAGGTCGAGCTGTTGTTCACCATCTTAGCTGTAGAGGGTGCAGCATCACTGGCCCTAATGTGGGATCCGAACCGGGGCCCTGCTGCTCAGAGCTGGTGTCCCAAGCCAGCTCTTAACCAGCGCGCCACTCGGCCAGCGCTGGGAGTTTTTAAAGGGGGTTTTGAGTGTCACATACATCAGTGCCCAGGCCATGGGTTCCATCTGCTGGAAGTGAGAACCCCAGCCCTGCCCCCAACTGGCTTGGTGATCTTGGGCAAGTTATGCAGTTTGTCCTAATATCCTCACCTCTAAAAACTTACCTCTGGTTGTTGTAAAAATTCAGTAAGGCAGGTGTGTGAAGTGCTTACCTTCGCTCTTGTTATTAAAGCCTTTTTGGGACTCTCTGGAAAACTTTGGCAATATGTAACAAAGAGCTTATGAAACATACAGAAAGAAATCACTTGCAAATTTGATAGGTGCAAAAGTTCTCAATTTGCTTTGTGTCTTAGGCCCATTCCAGCTGCCATATATATAACAAAATAGTAGACTGATTACCTTTCCGACAGAAATGTATTTCTCACATTTCTGGAGGCCAGAAGTCTTAGGGTGCAGTCTCGTAAGGGCCGTCTTCTGGATCACAGACTTTTCCTTGTATCCTCACATGGTGGAAGGGGCATGCTAGCTCTCTGGGGCACTAATCCCATTCATGAGGGCTCTGCCTTAGTGATCTAATCACCCCCAAAGGCCCTGCCTTCTAATACCCTGGACATTAGGTTTCAACATAGGAATTTTGGGCAGGATGGGGGCACAAACATTCAGAACATAGTAATTTGCATTTTTAATTTTGTTATTACAGTTAGTTTCTTTTCACTTATTTATTGACTTTATTTGTTTGCAGTCTATTTAATCTGTCAGGGTTTTAGAATGTTTCTTTGTTGAAGTGTAGGATTCTTGATTAATTTT